TCACCATACTTTCTGCGAAATTAACGTTGAGGAGTGATGCGATGTTGGGAGCAGGATAAAAATTGCCATTTCTAGAAAATATACATTTATTATTTTATGTATACATACACACCAGAGGGAGACTTTGTACAAAAGTTGATTGCTTGGGTACCTTTAACCCATTTGTGTTTCCACCGTGAAGCAGTTGTATTTGCATGACTGTGTTTCGGTTTGAAGGGTGGTATATGGCAGTGAATTTACAGGGTACAGAGGAATAACATCTGAGTCCTCAGGAATGGCAACGCATGGTGGGTATCATGGGCGTAAACAGTATACTCTGTTATGTCCATGGTACTGCTTATGTCTATAGGCGACGGTTACCACTTTTCATCAGGTTGGCCGTCAGCTTATTTGCCATTCTAAGTTGTATAAAAAAAAAACATAGAGAGAGAACATTCTACCGTAAGAGTAAATACCTCTGTAAGAGCTTCTTCAAGATCTGTTTCACTATGTACTAGTTTCACAAGCTTTGTAATAAATTTAACAAACATACGTTTTTTACGTAACTTAGAAGTACAAATAAGTTAATTTCTCAACTGATACTAAGTCGTAACCATCACGTGTAGACATGAACCTAATCATAGAAAGAAAGAAAAAAAAATATAAATATGTAAATATTGTTATTTGAGTTAACTAAAATTTAAGCATTTTTGTAAAGTCATTTTTATGATTCTTTTTCGCCCATTCGGAACGTAATTTAAGCCAAGCAGTATTATATTATCTGTGGCCAAGCAGAATGGCGAAAAAAGTCAGCTGTTGCTTGTTTCAAAAATTTTAAAAATATGAATCACAGAATACAGTGTAAAACACAAAGGGCTTATTGTATGTAATTGTGCGTGCGTGCGTGCGTGCGTGCGTACGTGCGTGTGAGCGTGCGTGCGTGCATTTATGGGTGCGTGTGTAAGCGTATGTGTGTTTGATAACAGTGTTGTGTTATCAAGTTTGACGACTATGGTTTTATGCCTCTATACTTTGAAATTTCACATATCTCATCAAACATCACATAAAATACAATTTTGTAACTAAAATATAATCGTGCAAGCACACTCCTTAGCGCTAATAACACGAATGGGACGTAAGTATTCAAGAAAATGCCTTCTTATTCTTCTTCTGGTATATTTCACGGCGGTTTTCTACATTTTGAAGATTTTTTTCGTAGTTAATTAATATATCTCGATTACGAGAAGTAGCGTATATAGCTTGTATTATAAAGAACTCTTGACAGGAGTTGTTTTATAATAAATATAAATAAAATTACTTCGCTAACCTAGTTTTAAAAAGCCTCAGATTTGGGGCAATCCGACATCCTTTCATGAAATAATGAAGATTCAATTAGAACGAAATTTCTTTAGATGTGCGGTGCGAATAGGCTGCAATGAAAAGGACGGACGGCGTGTAAAAATATATAAATAAAGATTTCGCTGGCTTTAAACATTACTTACTCGTAACTGAAACCTACGTTTTATTGGTAAGGGAATAGTGTCGAATTTCCAGTGGGTTTAAATTTTGGAGCTGTATGTTCGGGAAGCAGGTTTAAAGTAAGGGGAGGTCTTACAAAGGCTCGCGTCCATATTCATGCAAGTACAGATGAAAAAGTTGGCACAATACGCGCGCGTCATTAGAAGCAAGTTGAGTGGGGAAGTGACAAGTTGCAAGAGACGGTATGGAATCGAATGCGGTGTAACGAAATAAAGTTTTTGTTACTCAATAAATTAGATTCAAACTTGTTTATACTTTCCATTTTTTACTGACTTCCCTTGATTGCCTATGATTTTGTATTTTATTTAACTCTTTCATGGTTCTTTTAGATTATCTATATAATCTAGATCAGTGTTTCCCAACCTTATTTGTGCGATGCCATGCATATCTAAAAATTTTATGCCCCCATACATAATTTTTCGCGACAAAGTTTACTGGACGTTTCTAATCGCCCAGTTGATATTTTGGTAACAAAATTTTTTTTACTTCTATTGTTCTTGTCGGGACCAATCCTCTAGTTACACTTTTATTACTGTATATTCGCAGAATAAAAAAAAATAATAATAAAATTAATACAGAAAAACCATTATTAGATTTCGTAGACAAACTTTTTGATTTTTTAACAAGTTCAAAGGGGACGAATTGAAAGTGTACCCCCGGGGCTTTCTTATTGACCCCTCCGGCGTCACGGGGGCACTAAGAGCTCATTGACACTCGTTCTGAAAATCACTCGAGCAGCATCAAAGTACGTCAATCAGGTGTTTTGTTGTTTCGCATTTGATGTTGATGGATTATTAATATTTCACAACGTTTCTATTTTAGGAAACGACTTCAAAAAGATTTAGAACTCGATGAAAAAGTAACTATGTTTTTATGAAATTATAACAGTAACTCTCTCTCTCTCTCTAAATTAAACTAGTATTAGATAGATAAATAGTAAATTTATTTGCATTACTTACAGCACACAAATAACAACAGACAAATACATTATTATATACATTATAATCTTCAAAAGGGGGGTAAAGAGGTTTCTTCAGGGTCGGCAACGCGCGCGTAATACCTCTGGTATTGCAGGCGTTCATAGGCTACGGTAACCGCTTACCATCAGGTGGGCCGTATGCTTGTTTGCCTCCTCAGTGGTATAAAAAAAAACATTAAAAAGAGATAAAAGAATAAATACATAACTCGAAGAAAAAGCAGGTTGAAGTGGCAATGGGCTTGTCACATAGTTCGAAGAAACTGCAGCTGATGGGAAGAAAAGATTATCGAGTGGCAACCCCATAACAAACAAACATAAAAAAATACAGCCGACTTGAGAACCCATTCTTTTTGAAGTCGGTTAACAATTTCAAAATACAACTAATTGACGGGAGTTACATTAAATACAGGAAGAAATCTAAATGAGCTGCAAAGTCGAAGGAATATTAAATAGTACGAAAGAATGGAGCGCCATGCCTCGCTCCAACTAGCCTGAGTAAGGCATTCTTGTAGGAGATGCACTAGAATAAGAAACAATGGAAGTGAAAAAAATATTATGTCCTTATTAATATAATAGATATGCAAGTAAGTTTGTTTGTTACCTTACAGCGCTCTAATGGCTTAACCAAACGCTATGAAATTTGGTACACACATGATATGGGCAGAAGAGGAACTTTTTAACGGAGATGGGGGAGACTTTTGTACAGCAGTGAAACATCATGGGTTAATAATAGAACAGAATAGGCATATTACTTTTTTTATAATGATAAATTGTCTTTTTACAATGGAATGAATTTAAAAGAAATGCCACAATTATTTAACACATATCGGTTGGGGGCCTGGTGATCTGTACCTATTACAGACACCAGCTCCTCACAGCAGAGTTCCGTATTATTTTAATTTTATTTTATCCTAAATACCTATGTGTAAATTTAAGTTGTTTGTGAGGAGACATAAATAAATATAGTATTATTATGTAATATAAAATATATTATTATAATAGAATTAATTCTGTTGCATACTCGTATAACAGCGTAAACGTGTGAACAAAACAGTTTGAAACCACACTGTAATAATATATCTTAATTTTATATATCCTAACAGTAAAATAATATTGATTTTTTGTAAATATTATAATATTGATTTCAGAAAGAAGTAAACAGAAATTATCATATACATTGTTATGATGTTAATAAAGGTGAACTAATTTCTAGAAAGAAATATTTACAATTGAGCATTGACATTGATTATGACACACACACACACACACACACACACATAGTGTAGACACTCCCCGCTGCCCGCTGCGATCTAACCTCACCCCCTCTTGAACACGCGTCAGCTACTATATTCTAATGAATGTCTTTAGTCTTCAATAGCGACAATGTCAGAGAATGATGGAGGATATAAATAATATTAATGAAGGATGAAGAGAATAATGTCACAGCTCAATTCGCATTATACAATACATTGAAGTGCACGTTTTTCCCGCGCTATTCCTAAACATAACCATTCCTATACATACACACACACAATATCACATACACAGACGTTAATCGTTTCTGTTGTTTACTTGAATTTACTGGGTACAGAGGAATAACATCTGAGTCCTCAAGAATGGCAACGCATGGAGGATATCATGGGCGAAACAGTATATTCTGTTATGTCCATGGTACTGCTCATGTCTATAGGCGACGGTGACCACTTTCCATCAGGTGGGCCGTCAGCGTTTGTACAAAAATCTATTGCTTGGGTACCTCTGTCTCATTCGTGTTTTTACCGTGAAGCAGTTGTCTGCATGGTTGTGTTTCTATAGGCGAATTTACAGGTACAGACCACTTCCTCCATCAGTATGTGTGTATACTGTTATGTCCGTCAGTCATAGTTTTTCCATCAGGTGAGCCATTCTAAGTTGTATAAAAAAAAAAGTGGCTGGGGTTTAGTAATAGTGCCAAAAGAAATCACTTCCACGTCACATTAACTTTATATCTATGATCTCGTCCAAGTTTTTAGGGAAGTAGTAAAATATTCTTTTTGTACAGAGTGGTTTGCAAACTCAAAACTCTCTAATGGCGGAGGCCATTAGGCATTCATCGATTCCTAATTTATCTTACTTCTTAATTGTTCTTTCTTTCCAATCGGTAAGTTAATCGTGCCTTTTTACTTTCGATTTTAATCGATCCCGATTCTTGGTGCCCGTAAATCTTTACGATAACATTATTACGCCATTGATTTATGACTGTTATAAAGTTTGATATTAAAAGAAGAAAATAGATCGTAATTTGGTAAAATAACGTTAATTGCGGGTAATTTGGCGATACGATTTAAAAATGAAGATTTATAAGCCAATTTTATTTTTATGGTTCGCTTCTCAGATAACACAACTTTGTTGTTGTTTTTTTTTTTGTTTCTTCTTTAATAAATCGCTTTTGGGTTTGTAAAGAATTTTATAATAATCCTCTGTGAATCTGTGAGTAATATTTCAAGTTTATACTGGAATTATCATCGTCATCTGTCCACTGCTAAACATAGGCCTCCCTCAGGACTGACGTAAGGAACAGTCCTGATTTACTTGCATCTACTGACAATGCATTTGAGGTCGTCATTCCATGTAACAGGGGGTCGTTTTATTTTACGTTTAAAACAGAGTTTTACGCTAGGGGCGAAGGGGGAGGTGTATTTTTGAGTGACGACACTCGACAACATTTCTTCTCCATTAGTTGTTGGTTTTTCGAGCTATGTCACCACTGCTACTTCAGCACGTTTATCCTTCGGGCTATGTCGGTAACTTACGTTCTTCTGCGGATATCTATCCCACAAAGAAAAACAAAAAAGAATATTTAATATTAAATTAAAAAGATTGCTAATCGAGACGATCGATTCGAACCTTTCAATTCCAATCAACATATAATTATAGCAACATTGAAAAAAAATGTCAAACACAAAAAAAAAAAAAACTAAATTTGACAGTGACGTATTTCACGGGAAATATTTACAATTATATCATTTATTATTATTATTATTATATATTTTTACGATATTGATGGAGGGGTATCCATACCCGTATCCCCCGCCTTTCCCACCGATGCGGTCCCCCGAGGGAGAATATCCCGATCACGGGGATGGATTTGGTGATTATTACGGTATGGAGGTGTTGAACGATTACGAACTTGGGGAAAGGTAATCTAAGATCTTACTAGTACATCTCCTTCTTAACACTTCTGTCCTCAAAAAGAAGACCTGTATGTGATAATAAACGAGGTTTATTTGCTAAGTTCCTGATGTGATAGGCAGAGAGAACCGAGCACCAGTCTCTTACACCCTTTCCTTAGATTGTATAGATAGAGCATCGACGTCAAAAACGAAATATTAATATATTATTTTTTACTTTGACAAATGTACACAGACTTTGATATAACTAGATGGAGACTATGTTCAAAAACGTGAGCGCCTCTAATTCTTTCTGCAGGGCGGAAAGGAATTGTTAGTAATGGAATTTGACAGCCCCATTGCTAGCAATATGCCTTATTAGATCGACCTCCACGTGGTTTCCCCTGGAAACCATCGTGAACAATTCTTGTTGAATTAGTCACGATGGGCTAACTGACCTACTTCATCCTCACCTATCATCCTTCACTGGTGCTCCGCCGGTGTATACCGATAGCGCGGGTGGGGTTACTATTCCATTATCATCCATCAAAAGAAAAAAAAATTCTTTCTGCAGTCGCAGTAACATGATCGCATGTTATGTTACAGTTAACAGTGAAATTACTGAGTGCTGTGACTTAAGATCTTTATAAAGGTTAGCACCATACGCGTGATGCTTATGGTGGTAATAAAATATGTGATAAGTGTTCATGGGGTATGCATGGCCAGTTACCATTAGGCGCAATGTTTATTTTTGCATAAAAATACATAATACCTTTGTCGTTAAACTAAATGCAGGCTGAAGTCGAAATCGGTAGCCTTTTAAAAGGTATATTTTACTTTTACAAGAAACTGGTGTGATCTCTTTTGGTATGTACGTATGGTGTATTTTACCACTGAAACTAAATATTTTTATTAAATAGACAGAGCAAATAACGACAAACTGGAAAAATCTTTCTTATTATAAAATAATAGATAGATAGATAGATAGATACTCTTTATTGTTTCCTCCAAAAGATTACAATAGTAAACTTATTATAAATATAAACAATTACAAGAAATAATCACAATGAGAAAACAATGGGCGACCTTATCGCTAAAAGCGATCTCTTGCAGGCAACCTTTGGATGGAGAGGAGTAATTATAAACAGTTTGATCGCAGGCACAATGAAATTCTATTATTTCTTAATATAGAGATACGATACGTGTAATAATGTAAAATATATATCCCTACTCATTATATACACTTATATACTATTAATGTTAAGGATTTCGATTTTATCCAGTACTAGCTGTATCCTGCAGCTTTACCCGTGTGAATCAATAAATATACATCTATCTATGATACATCGATGTAATAAATATCCATTCATCTTTGCCAACTTTCACATTTATAATATTAATTGGATTTAATATTATTAAAATATAATATTAATAAATTAATTAATTATAATCCAGGCCCAGTCGATCTAAAAACCGTAGTCGAAAACACTATAACTCCAGACGTTCACATTCTCGAAGTATCACCGCAAAAAAAACGCAAACACGATCGAGATCCCGGTCGCGATCTTCATCGCAGTCAAGGTCACGTACGCGGTCAAGGTCGCCCTCAAGGTCAAGGTCACGATCGAGAACTCGAAGCAGATCAGCCAGCCGAATGCGAATATATAAAGAACCTGGGTTTTTGGATGCTTTCAGAGTATTGTATTTGACGCGTAAGTTATTTTTTTAATTAGAATTTTTTTAATAAATAGCTTAAATATTGTTCCAAAAAAGAGCAATGACTTCAATCATGATAAAACGTCGAATGAAGGAAAATAAAGTCTATTTTGAAATTTTGAATAGTTATGACGCAAAGAAAATAAAAATAATTTTTAATAGTTTTTAAATTTAAAATCGATAAAATTTGTATCTAATTGTTAAGCATATCTTAGATAGACAGACGTAGTTGCATCATTTCCATTTTGGTACATAGCTTCAGAAACTAATATATTTCAATCAAAATAAAATTAATAGGAAGCAATGTACCAAGACCAATAGAAAGTTATCTATCGAAAAACGAATTATCATAACAGGTTCAGAAATGACGTTTTAATATCGTAAAGTTACCAAAAATACAGACATATTTTAAGAATTTTCAGAGATTGCTTAAAAATGAAACCACGTTTTTGTTTTCACCCTTTTTCCACAATGGCGTCAATTATTAGAATTAATTCACCAATTAAACACAAAAGTTGCTCAATTGCAGCTTAATATTTCATTTACCTGTCCACAAAACTCCGAGTCGCCCCTTTCTTGCATTCAAATCCAATTTAGAGTCGAGTGGAGAGTCAGAGACTAAAACTTTTACAAAACGACAGTTAACCGGCGACTCCTTCAAAACGCTATCTGCGACCGTGTAATTAATTCCTGAAATTTTAATTCTTATAGATCTTATACTTAAGGATGGAGTAACAAGTTTTAAAACCGCGACAAAATTCAGTCAGCTAAATATTATTTTTAACTGACAGCATTCGACACACATTTTTTAAACAAAATAAAAGTCATTTTATTCAGTATTGCGAACAATTCCATTACCGATTATATAATTGAAATAATTGGGAACTATTTTTTCCCATGTGATATAAATTATGTACATATTTCAAACAAATTAATTTACACGTTTTATTAAAATGGTTCATAAGTTCGTCGTGTCGTATCAAATGCCCCAACATTTTTCCCCTTCTGTCCGCAATAGTTCTAATAAGAACTAGAAGAGGGAGACCGATATCAACATCGTTACATCAGGCAGATCAAGAAAGGAGTTGGTGTCGTGTCGTATCAAGAGGTGAAGAGACTCGCTGAAAATCGTAGTGAGCTCTTAAATAGGATAGATATTAAAATGGTAATCAATTGTAATGATACATGGTCAATAAAAATATTTAACGATAAGTTACCTGTAAGCGAAGTTCGATTTGAATTATATAACGTACGGAATATAATAGTCAACATATAGATTTTTAAATCTATTCTAAGATATCAACCAAAGAAATCGGTGCAGATAAACATTGTTATGAATAATTAGGCTCTGTTTTACTTAGTCCTTTTAAATGTAAAAGTTAAGATATCGCATTGTTTTTATTTTTCAAATTAACCATATAGTGCGCACTTCTGCCATTAGTGAGTAATAAGTATACAATCTGATTTCACGCATTCATGATTAAATTTTTTTTTGGCAAAGCGTTTGTATTGAGACACTCCATCTAAAGATATATGATCTAGTGCTTTTATTTTAGCCAGCAAACAACAAAGGAGTACGACTAAATATTTAGCCACGAAAAAGAAGCAGGATCATATACAGGAGATTTTAAAGAGTGACGGGCTCGGATCTAAACGGTGGCTGTTCTATCCACGATCACAAAACAGCTGCGAGCCGATAACGCAGCCAGTCGCCGGATCGCGGGATAATTGCGATCAGAGAGTGAAGATCGACGGGGAGTTTTTTAGGAAGTACAAGAGGCGCAGCAAGGTGGCCAGTGACGCGCCAATAGCCAAATTGAAGAGGTGGGAACTGATATTTTATAAGAAGTTAGGATTTATACAGGCTGTTTGATTTTAATTATTATATTAATATTTTATGTTATTAGGTGTTTTTATTTTTATATCTTTTCTCCTTTAATAAAATGAAAGAACGATTTGAAAACATATGAACTAGACAGATTAGATGTATCTACAAGTAGACTAAGGATTGCCTGGAAGAGATCGCTCTTAACGATCATTGTTTTATCAGTGAGATATATTCTTGTAATTGTAATTGTTTTTATTTACAATAAGTTTACTAATGTAATCATTTGGAGGCAACAATAAAGTGTCTATCTATCTACAAGTAGATTGTTTAGCGATGACTACAGATGATTTGAATTTGAATTAGTAATATATATTTCTATAACAAATTCTGAAGTCATTATAATTAATTTCTTTAATAGTTTTTTTTTTCTTTTTTTTTATACAACTTAGAATGGCAAACAAGCTGACGGCCCTCCTGAAGTAAAGTGGTAAGCGTCGCCTATAGACATGAGCAGTACCGTGGACATAACAGAGTATACTGTTTCGCCCATGATCCCCCCCATGCGTTGCCATTCCTGAGGACTCAAATATTTAACCTCTGTACCTTGTGAATTCACGCCATATCCCACCCTTCAAACCGAAACACAGCCATGCAAACACAACTGCTACACGGTAGAAACACGAATGGGACAGAGGTACCCAAACAATCGACTTTTGTACGAGTACAAAGTATCCCTCTGGTAAAAATACATAAGATTCTACAAAAGTGATTTTAGACAACTGCACGCAATCTTCATTTTTTAATTCTAATTGCTTACATAAAAAAAAAAGTACAATAAATCTTGTGGCGCTTTATTTTCTATAGCAACATTGGAGGGGTGAAACTAATCGTCCGTACCAAACAGGGAAACTTTTAAATTAGTACCGAATCGTGGAGTTATCGCGCGGAAAATTGACGTGCTCAGGGCTGCGGTTTTGGGCACACCCTGTATACAGTCTTGACTCCAGTTGTCTAACGAATAGTGCCTAGACAATTGCCTAGGAATTCTATCATTATTAGCTTTTACGCGCGACTTTGTCCGCGTGACCGGTATATTTTTTTTATACCATTGAGGTGCCAAACAAGCATACGACTCACCTGATGGTAAGCGGTTACCGTAGCCTATGAACGCCTGCAATACCAGGAATATTACGCGCGTGTTGCTGACCCTGAAGAAACCTCTTAACCCTTTTTTAAAAACCCCATGCTGTAGTCCCATGCTGTATATGTTCACTGATCAGAAAAATCAGTACGTGTATACCAAATTTCACAATGATTGGTTAAGCCGTTGAGGTGCTATAAGGTAACAAACAAACTCACATTCACATTTATAATATTAAGTAAAGACAATTATATAGTAATATTGTTTTTTTTTAAAGATTTATTATTTTGTTGTACGAAAGAACCAACTTGACAGAACAGTAACTGTTATAGAACCCTAGCGGTTATAAAAAGAATCTTCGAAATCGGTCTGTAACTGCGTAACAAATACAAAAGCGCAGTCGTTTCGTTGTCCTTAATTAAATAAATAAATAAACAAACACAAACACAAACAAATGAACGAACGAACGAACGAACGAACGAACGAACGAACGAACGAACGAACGAATAAACGAACAGGTAAACAGGTGAACGGGTGTTCACCTAATTAATATAAATAAATAAATAAGCAAATAGGCAAATAGGTATATAGGCAAATAGGTAAATAGGCAAATAGGCAAAGAAGTTAATAGGTAAATAGGCAAATATGCAAATAGGCAAATAGGCAAATAAGCAAATAAGTAAATAGGCAGAGAGGCTAATAGGCAAATAAGCAAATAAATAAATAGGTAAGTAAATAAATAAGAAAGTAAATAAAGAAGAAATAGAATAAGTAAAAAAGGTAATAAATATTTGATATTGAATTAATAAATGCAGTGAAATATTCTCAGTATCTTGAATTAATAAATAAAATTAATAACAACACTATATTTACTTTATTACTTTGTTTTTTATTATCATTTCAATGGTGTAATAAAGAGTAAATGATAAACTTGCCGTGTGGTCCCAACATAGCATGGGCCACCCCTTCCTTTCTTGTGGGTGTCGTAAGAGTCGACTAAGGGAACTTAATGGTCGAGAGATGGAGAGTATCGTTCCTCTATAAACATCACCAAAGCCTAACTGTGGTTGCTAACTCACCTGCCAAGCATGGCAACTACTGGCAAAACCCCCCGTATGGGGGAAGCCTATGTCCAGCAGTGAACGGTTAACAACAGTAATGACGAATAAATAAATTTAATTAATAAAAACACTGTATTTACTTTATTTATTACTTTATTTTTTATTATTCTTTAAACGGGGAAATAAAGCGTAAATGAATAAATCAATAAACCCTTAAAGCTTAGGAGAAAACCACACTATGCATGTTCTACCGCTTGTACAACGAATTGTGCTCAGAGGAATTGTTCAATATGATGCCTACGGCCCCTTTCTACCATTCATTGTACAGCTCGCCATCGACAGAGAGATCTTCCCCATACCTTAGAGCCTAGTTGGTCCTGTACAGCGTAGTTTTAGAGATACTTTGTCCCACGAACACTCAGGTTATGGAATGATTTCCGTGACGAGCTTTTCCCAAGAGACTACAGCATGTGGTCATTCAAAAAAGGGGTCCAGAGGTCATGTGGTCCTTCAGGATCGCGCGTCATGTCGCACCATGCGTTGCCATTCCTGAGGACTCAGGTGTTATTCCTCTGTACCCTGTAAATTCACGCCATATCCCACCCTTCAAACCGAAACACAGCCATGCAAACACAACTGCTTCACGGTTGAAACACGAATGGGATAGAGGTACCCAAGCAATCGACTTTTGTACAAAGTCTCCCTCTGGTACGCGCACGTTATGCCCCTGGTATTGCAGGCATTCATAGGCTACAGTAACCGCTTAACATCAAGTGTGCCGTATGCCAGATTGCTACTTCAGTGATATAAAAAAGTCTTTAAATTTCGAACAGTACTACGTCATAATATCATAAAGCAGCTGTTATTTGTGGTACTTACAAATAGTGCAATCTTGAACACCTTAAAACTTATGTGTTTTCAATGATAATGCGGCTTGCTCGCATAATCTAAAAATAAATTCGGCCACTCGGTCTCGAAGCCAAGTCTCGGTATGGTCTGCAAATAAATACAAAGCTATTTTATTTGACAATTATTATATTATTTGTATTTTAGACAGACTCGTAAACCAGGAAGCATTCAATTCACTTTTACCATTAGAGAGTTTATCAACCTTAATTTATCAGTCTTCTGGTTATTTACTTATTTAGGGTCAGTCCTTCTGACACTTTTGCTCTGTTTTTGGTATTGTTTTGCTATCTCTGATGTGTGTGTGTGTGGTGGTGAGAGTATGTGTGCGTTTTGAGAACACTCCTATAACCATATAGTTTAATTTTTTACGTTTAATTTGATTTATAATAACTGTTATTCATTACCTCCATCTAATCGAATTAGATACTAAATGGTCATGAATAGAACTGATTTCCAAGTGCACTTCGTATTTTTATGAATTTTATTTTTGTGAGAGCAAAATAATATAGATTTGTTTGCACGCCGTACATTAGTTTAACCGGCATCGGCTGCCTACGACAGTTTTATATTATGGAGTGCGCACGCGACAGCGGATTTTGTCGTTCGGTGCAATTACATGAGGAAACGTGTTCGAGAGACATCTGGCGAATTTAAAATAGACCAAGTACAACTAAGTACTAGTATAAGATACGCAGGCTATTGAAACTAGTCTAGCCTTTTTAAATCTTCCTTTTTAATTTTTTTTTAATTATTATTATTTCAGTCAAAAACTGTCCACTGCTAGACATAGGCCTACTTTATAAATGGAAGTTTGCCAATAGTTGCCACGTTTGGCATATGGGATGGCAAGCACAGTTAGGCTTTTAGGGATGTCTTAAGAGGAGTTTCTCTTGCGTTCAGCGTTGCTGTTGCTCATCCCTCGACAATTAAGTTCCCTTAGTCGCCTCTTACGACACCCACGGGAAAGGAAGGGGTGGCCTATTCTATGCCGGGACCACATAGCAAAAGTCTTATATCCTATGAATATTCCATTAAAATAATAAATGCCTAAGTTTGTAAGAATGGATGAATAGATATTTGTTACTGTTTTAAGTAAAAACGACTGGACAGATTTAAATGAAATTTGGTACACGGGTAGATCATATCCTAACCTAGCATATAGAATACTTTATATGTTGATTTACACCGGTGAAGCCGCGCTATAGAGTTAGTATAAAATAAATCTTGCAATGTCATGTACATTGAAGATTGCAGACATAAGAAGATTTCTCTCTTTATAATTTTAATTCATCCCCTCGTCGCTGGGGTGTGACCCCTGATGCCTTTATTTGCATTCAATTCGTACTTGCTTTTTTTAAGTAATTGCTTGCTTTTCCAAAAAAATCTTCAATTTGGTAATTCAGAAAAAAAAAATATATATAAAAAATATATAAATTCATCATTATAATTAAGATTGTGTTTCACAGAAAAAAAGCAGATTTATTTTTATAGTAAAATTGGATATTTAGAAAAAAAAACTACTGAAAAGTAAACTAATGAATTGATTTTGAAAAAAATTTTATTGGATTAATAAATAAATTATTTAATTAATTAATAAAGTCGATTGCTTGGATATCTCCGTTCCATTCGTGTTTCAACCATAAAGCAGTTGTGTTTGCATGGCTGTGTTTCGGTTTGAAGGGTGGGACATGGCGTGAATTTACAGGGTACAGAGGAATAACACCAGAGTCCTCAGGAATGGCAACGCATGGGGAGGTATTATGGGCGAAAGAGTATACTCTGTTATATCCATGCTACTGCTCATGTCTATAGGCGACGGTTACCACTTTCCATCAGGTGGGCCGTCAACTCGTTTGCCATTCTAAGTTGTATAAAAATGTATAAAAAAAATATACTTACATATTGGTCCCATGTAAGTATGTATGTAAGAATAT